AATCTTAATCTTACAATTCCCTCAGCTACATTTTGACGAGTGCAAATTTACAAGCACTCTAGTGTCCAATCATCTTTTACCTTCAAGTCACGAAAGGAAAACTTGCCAATCTAACTCTTCCGGTTCAAGAGGATTGAACAGGGGCAGCTGTTGTACCCCAAAATTTTCCCTCTCATTTTATGAAGATTCCCCCTCACAAGGCTCTTTGAACTCCAGACAGGATTAGGGTTTTGCTCTGCTCAAGACATCTCCTTGCACTGATGACCTAAATTAGGGTTTGAGTTTGCACAAGGATTTTTGGACTTCCAATGCTCAAAGTGACTTTCATACATTACCTTGGATCCCTAAGTTTTCCTCTACCAAGTTTCAAGCTTTGAATCAAATTTTTGCCCAGTCAATTGGACAGTTGACCTAGAAATCAGCTGTATTGGGGAAAAAGTCAGTTGTGACCAATTTACAGTCAAACCTCATAATTGTTTATGCACATCAACATTATAGACTCATATGAACCATTTGATCAAGTTTGGACCACAACTCCTCAAGAAATTTGATCACATCATCAAAAGGGCAAAATGGTCATTTTTAGGGTTTTGACTGCACAAGGGCAATTTCTGATTTTTCACCTAGCCAATGGCAAATTGGGTTCAAGCATGGACTCAAGAACTCAATGGCATCATCTTGACCTATTCACAAGGTTCAAAAGATCTCAAATGCATTGGATTGATAGATGAATTTTTCAGTCAACTGATCAAAATTTGACTGTACACTGAAAAGTCAAACTTTGACTTTTTGGTCAAAATCAAGTGCCAAGGGTCATTTTTCATCAAGATGTGTCAAAACATGAAACTTGTTGATCAAGAAACCCAATTTTGCAAATTAGGGTTTAAGTTTGAAAATTTTCATAAACTTAGAATTTTTCTAAGTTACGAAATTTTCTTAATTTTGCCCAACATTTTCATCATGATGCAATTGGATTCAAACAAAAATTACAACATGAAAGTTGTAGTCCTCCACAAAGTCTACAACTTTGATTCACAAAGTTTTCTTAAAAGAAGCTTGGATCTCAAGTTATGATTTTTGGAACAAGGGTCCACGTAACTTTTAACTTAGTGAAATTTTGCCCTAGTTTAGGCAGGATTTTGACCTATCTTTATGTCCATTTTTCACATAGTTCCACTTGGAATATAAAATTTCATTTCAAAGATGGAATGTAGAGTATGTTGCAAGATTTCTAAAAAGTCCAAGAACTCTCCAAAATCATTTGTGGTTAGGGAGAATCGAAGGCTTGAAGTTGGCAAAAACTCACTTCTTATCCATGGCATGTTCATAGTGATACAAGTTGCAAACTCTAATCAGCTTGCTTTGTACTTGATTACAGGTCTCAAAACCATTCCATACTCAATAATTAAATGCAAATCCATTGGTCTAAGGCTTTGTTTTGGTCATTAGAGGATTGCACACAAGATTAATCCATAAATGGTAAAAGGTACATTACCATTTTTGCCAAAATCTTGCTTTATGTCAAACCACATCCCTTGAGCATTGAACCATATCTTGTGCAGCAAATCAAATCCACAAACTTGAGGATCCAAGAGCATAGTGTACAAGCTGATAGATAGCCTGTATAGGCCTTCTTTGCATCACTTGTCCACTTTTGCTTCATATACAAGAAACTTATAAAACACAACATAATTGGAACATCAGGAAAAAAAACTTTTGCAAGCACTTGAGACAAGTTTCTCACATCCCCTTGAGCCAGAAACACGAGCCTTTGAGCCCACAAACCTCCCATAGCACAAAATCATCTTACATACTTTTATTTTATTTAATAAATACTTGAGAATAAAAACATAAAAATATTATACTTTTATTTTTTATTATTATTTATACTTAAATAATACTTTTTCTAAATATATTTTATTTTTTGTATATACATTATTTTATCTTATTGTATATAAATAGTATATTTAATATATTTACATTCTTAAAAGAAAATTAGGGTTTTACCCTTAATAAAAAAATAATCTTTTTTTTATTATTTCTTTCTTTTTGCATTAAATATTTTTTACATACATAAAAAATAAACATAAACATTTTTGCATATTCATAATATTTTGTATATTTATTTAATTTGTTTATTTAAATATTATTCATTTATTATTTATGCAATTTATTCAATTTGGATGTAATAGTAAAATTAGGGTTTTAATTTCTTGCCAAATAATCCCCATTCAAAAATTGTATCCCCCTCCCCATAATCATGTTGTAATAGTGGTAGATTTATTTTTACGCATTTATGCTTCCAATTATGCCATGATTGGAGATTAGGGTTTGTATGCAAAAAAATCCAAAATCAAACAAATAGCTTGACCAATACAAAGACAAAAAGCCTGTAAAATGACAACACAATACACACTTGCACCTCTAGGGTTTCATCCACTTGTTGCCTTTTTAAAATTGGCCATGTTATGCATGTTGAGTACTTTGGCAAAACAAAAGATCATAGTCCCTCGATGACGCTATCTTGGTTGCCTATACAAAATGATCTAGTCCCTCAAAAATTGCTAAAGATACTTGGCAATATTGCTATCATGGTCAATACGATGACTCGCGCTTGTCCCGTTTAAACATCCTAATACAAGGTTGTTTACCAAATGCAATGGTAAAACAACACTGTCAAAAGGGTTAAAAATGTGTAGGAAATAACTTTGAGTAAAATAGGGTAGACAACTCTTAGTTACTTGATCAAAACTTGCAAAACATCCTTGCTATTTTCAAACACACCTCACAACACAATTCCAAAACAATTTCCCAAAACAAATTTTCAAACATTAAAATCTTTTCAAAAGACAATACACCTTTGTATATATTCAAACAAGAATCATTACAAAGGTTTCCACAACGATGGCCTCTTTTCAAAATATTTTCAAAACCACACACAAAGCACCATTCCAAACAATTGGAAAAGCAAAGCAAGTGATCTAAACAAGTAACTAAGAGTCCATTTAACCATAGATGAAAAGGGTTCTTGCACCTTCCCTTTTCATAATATACTCCCCGAACCCAAGAGAATATCTCAAAGGTCTTTCCTGTGCTTTTTGACCTTTCCTTTGGATAAAATAAAAAGTCGGTGGCGACTCTTGCTAAACTGAAACATTTGCGAACACAAACGCAAAACCTCAAGTCAGTTCTCCCACCGTATCACAGTGATGATCATAGAGTTGGTCATATTTTGTTCCTTAAATCTTTCATCTTATTTATCCAGACGTTGTCGAACAACTGCATTCTCTCTTCTGAGCTCATCTAGAGTTTCCTTAATGTCACAAGACGTAAACTCTTAGCCAGAAGCAGAGTTCTACAACTCTCCAAATATAGTTCTAACCTCTAGAGTCTTCTAATAAGGTCGAATCTCTTGAGTAGTAATTGTTAAGGGAAGTTCAACCTCTGGTGCAGAGAGTAGAAACACTGGAGGAAGAAGTCTGCTAGCAACAAGTTTCTCAAGAACCTTTCTTCTGGAATCCTTGAAGAAGCAGAATTATAGTTCAAAAGTGATGGAAGACATCCATTTTATAAAGTTATGCCATAGGGAATTACTCTCATCTGGATCTTCATAGTCAAAACAAGCATCCACTAAGGAAAGAAGTTTATCCATAGTTTAAAATTCAAATTTATTTAATATTTCATCTTTGGGTTTAAGACAGACATTGGTTCAGAGGAAAAGATGGTCGTAAGGGGTGTAATAGGGTGTAGAAACTCTATCTGGTATGGTTGTGTTCATCATAATTGCTTCTTTAGAATAAGAGGAAATATATATGACATCAGGTGGGTTCTTTTTGGTAGGTATGGATGACTTACGTTGATACTCAGAGATAAGTCACTACAAGAAAATAGGCAGATTGCGACAGGTATTTTTGTAGATTACGACGGTTAAAACCGTCGCAATTTGCTTTCCACGACGGTTGCTTTACCGTCGCAGAAGTGTGTGTCCCCAACCTATTTCGCGACGGTTACAAAAACTGTCGTTCAAGTTTACGACGGGTTGATACCGTCGTGACTATCTTTTGAGTTTCTTTTAATTATTGATGGCGACGGTTCGATACTGTCGTGAATATCTTTTGAAATTGATTAAATTGTTTTTGGCGACGGTTCGATACCGTCATGACTTTTGTTGATTACGACGGTTCGGTACTGTCGCCATGACTTTTGTTTATGTCTTGATTTTTTTTTATTTTTCTATTATATATATTTTTTATTTAAATTATTATCTATGTAAAAAATTTTAAATATAGTTTTTTTTTGTGTTATTTTTTTCTTTAAATTATTTCTTCTTTAATATATTTATTTATAGTATTATTTTTTGTTTTATTTTCTATCACTTTGTAATATAGTAAAAATAATTTCAATAAAAAATATTTAACATCAAATAAGCATTATAATATCCAAAAAAATATGTGTGCCATAATCATGTAAAATGCGAGTTCCATAATCATGTCAAGTAGTACAAAAAACCCAAAATATATCAATTCCTAATCTTATAATAATAAGTATCATTATGCCAAAAATACATGAGAAAGTTCACAATCTAATTATCTCGATCATAGCAAAGTCTAATTTGTCCCCCCTGAAGTTCCATTATCTCCAATACGGTAGCTAGACTCAGATGAACGTCTACCATCAGCGGGTGATTCCAATCCCTAAAAAAAGGTATTAAAATAATAATCTTTAAAATAATACTCATAAAATTTAACTTTAAATGCGTCAAAATAATATACCTGTCTTCCACTAAAATTCTGCATTTGCATTAAGAGTTCAATTTCCTTTGTCCTCGCCTTGTCCCTTTTAGGGTTTAGGGTTTAGGGTTTAGGGTTTAGGGTCGTCGGGATTTGGATCCGTCAGCAACGAGCAAATTGACAAAAGGACCTAAAATAGTGAATGTTAGGTTTATTTTTTGTGAGATTTAGATCAACAGCAGACAACATCATCATTCCAAACGAAGCTCATTAAAAAAGGAGAAATGATATTTGTGATGGTTTTCCACAGTTCTTGAGACATTTCGATGAAGAATAGGATCCTCTATAATTGCATGAGTCAGTACAGCCAGAAGTTGGAGCGACGTATGTTGGCCAGTATCGTCCAATGCTCTGTCCATTCATCCAGGCTTCTCCTTTTCCCAGCCCCGTGAAATCAATTGCAACTGGGTTACTTCCAGAAGGAGCAATGAAGTTCGTCTAATATAACACATTGAGATTAGTCAGCTGAAGAAAAACATGAGAATTTTAACAAATGCTCTATTCTTATTAAGATTACCTTGTACCAAGTCAAAGGTTGATTTGTAGGTAAGTTAGATTGTGAATTCCACTGTCCAACACTTCCACTAGACAAACCTAAATCTTCACCTTGAAGACCAATCTGCATTCACAAAAATACAGACATGTAATCTATGACTTAATTAAAGAAACTCAGAAGGAGAAACAAAAACAGGCCTTAAGTTAAGCCAAGACTAACCTGGTATGTCCATTGCTGTGAGGAGAGATCAACAGTACTTCCATTTCTCAAACCTTTCAATGTTACTGGACCAGTGATCCCCGCACCCACTAGGTCGTAAAAAGCTCCATAGTTCTGTGGCACATAAAATTCACATTAGCTGAGAAATGAACACGTAGATGCATATTTTGTACTTTATAATCAGAAAATACGAACCTGTAGTCCCACTGTTAAACTCAGGAGATCAATTTTGTTCTTTCCAGATACAAGTGTAATAGGGATGTCCACCTTGACCTTAGCGTTTCCGCTGTTTCCTACTCCACTCCCTGAAAAAGTTCTCGGTATTAACGTATCGAAATTTCATTACATGATTCGTGAAACACGTCATTTAAGTAAAGAAAGATACCTGCAAGTTTCCCATTTATAAAAGCATGAAGGGCGTGACCAAGGGATTCAATGTGAAGAACAGGTTGAGCACCGGCAGTATCTTCAACATCAATGCTTCAAAACAATTTGAAAAAGGTTAACATGGGCACGGAAAAACAATCGTCAAGATAAAGCTATTTCAACCTTGAAATTCCTTATACCTTAATGAATACCACAGGTAGTCACTTCTATCTGCAGTCGTGTTTATTTGTTCAAGAAGTCCAGATTTTGTGAATGCATCATCCTTTGAAATACCGACCGGTTCACTAATCCAACTCCATCCCGAACTTGAACTCCCCAAAGAATCAACCTCTTCTTTTACAGATTCAGTTGCGAAGCTTGAAATCGTAGATGCAGAATTAATCTGTCGTACGAAAAAATAACTTTAGTTTATGCTACTTTGGAAAGAATAAATAGAAGAAAAGATATCACCAATAGATTGATTAATCACAAGAAGTTTAATAATTAGTTTAGTAAATTGAACTATATAGTGTGACTGGAAGTTGATGAGGCAAACCTTTGCAGTATTTAGAACAACACTCTTGCAATCTGGTAAAATGCTCACAGACCATCCAGGCAAGTGATATGAATTGCCGTTGAAGGTAACTGTTGCATCGTTCGTGCCGGTGTTAGCAAGGAAGGCCACACATGCAGATCCTGTCTTGTAAACTGAAGTCTGAGATTGAAAAGTAAATATTAAGAGATATAACGAAACCATTCATGTCAGTGATTAACTTAAAACTTAAACCAGCAAACTATGATGAAAGCTTCGAAGTGCCTATTATTTATTACCTCTAGATTTGGACCAGGAGATGAAATTGTTGGATCAGTAGCTATAAGTGCTTCTTCACAAAGTTTTATGGCCTTATGCAAATCTTTAAGATGCCCCCATTTGGGTTGTCTAATAATTCCTGCATCAGGCAATAACACGTTTTTCATTTTTACTGTCTTCTATATATCGAATAACATTGAGTTGCAATCTCTTTTTATTTATCTTCTTGATTGAATAAGCAAGCTAGTTTCTATATTTCTATACCATCAAAATAAAGATGAAATTTGAAAGATTGCATACCATACTCATCAATAGGTGCATCATAATCATAACTTGTAGAAATGAAAGGTCCACCAGTTGTTCGGCCAAAGTTAGTCCCTCCATGGTACTATTTCAGAGCAAGCAAGCAAAAAAAGTTGGGGTATCAGTTGGTTTACTATCTTACATATTAGCTGAGTTTAAACTACACGCGATATTGTCAATAGGGAATAGCAAAATATAGGGGTTTGTTAAAACTCAGCTATGCTGCAGTGCTACAGCGCAGCATCCGCCGTTATCTGATAACATTTTGTAGTAAGTAGCATATTATGAGACAATAACGTTTGATCAAATTCTAGCACAGTTATAATCACTCTTTGACAATAGTACTACATGTGAGGTTGCATTACCATGTAGTAATTTTGGAAAGTTCCACCTCACTGAAAAAAACGTGCAACAGCGAATGCAAGATCTTCTACAGGTCTGTACGGCACAGCACCTCCAAATGCAAGAAACCTATGATTTCAAAAGGTTGCAATAGGGGGAAAAAGTTGAATAAAATCATATTTTGAGTACTCCATTCAAATTACAAAATGATATAAATAGGAAAAACCGCTACTAACCATCCAGTCCAATTCTCAGTCCACATTTTTGGTTTCTGGTTAGAGTTTGGCGTGAATTGATCGCAGTAAAATCCATTGCACGTATTAATCTATAAGCATTCAAGACACAATCTTATGAAAATAAACAACCAAGTAGGATGAATGTAGACATCAACATGGTAAGATAGCTCTATCATAAAGATAGTAAAATCAAACCGTGTGATGAGCACAGAGCCTATTCTTTTGGCTTTGACTAAAAAAATATACTCCGCTAAAACATAAACTGCATAAAACTGTGGATAGCTAAAAGGAGAAAACATACAATTGGATCAGGTGCATTTGCTTGCTGGCACATAACCCAGGGAACGCCTGTATCAAGAGATGTAGCCATCGATGATGCCCAATTGATGTAGGTTTTAGCAGCAGGACCATAGCTTTTATCAATATTTCCATACTCATTTTCAATCTGGAATAAACAAGTAAATATTTTAACATTAAAGGACTATGCATTAGGTCATTAAGAATCTACAAAACAAATAACTGGGCCTTAATTCCCCAAAAAAAAGAAAAATTGGCTTGTATTTTGATGATTTTAAGAGAATGAAACCTGAGATAAAATGATAGGTCCTCCTTGTGATGCATAGAGATTCTCTTGCTTCATCAAATCCACAATCTTTGCTGTAAACCGTTTCATTTCTGCCTTGAATGGTTCATTATCAGTTCTGAACTTAATTCCCGGAATAAAATGTAACCAAAGAGGGAAGCCACTGTTTAAGAAGAAAACAAAGAAATTAAAGCCAAGGATTATATACTAATATGGAACTATCTTTAAAAAGATCCAATTGTACCCGTAATTCCATTCTGCACAAGCGTATGGACCGATCCAGAGATGAACATATAGACCTGCTTAAATGGTCAGAATCACACTCTGCACTAGGCACCCACTAGGCACTATATAGCATAGCATATCAGAATTCTATAAACTCAGCCATACCTTGAGTTGAGCATTACAACAAACACTTGATGAGAATCATTTTAGTACTATTCTAAAAGAGTATAGAATACAATTATCAAAAGAAAATATGGGTTACTTACCATTGCCATATTAAACTATATATATATTTCTGAGGAAGTTCCTTCAGAAAAGAATAGCACTGATGAACAAGCCAATGGAAATAATGGTGCCGCCAAGACAGATGAACAAAATCCCTCTGAAGTTGCTGCTGCTACTGAGGATAGTGATCAAAAGATGTCAGAAAATGAAAACCCTAAAACAACAAATTAGAAAATCTAACATCAATTCAATATATTCAAACTCAAAATCAATCATCACAAAGAGCTCAACCATAAGATTCAAGTGAATCTCCAATGCTGAAATCAATGGCAGAGAATGAGAGAGATGAGAACAATGCAAAAAGTGATACATAAAACTTACTGTGTTTGAAGAGATGAACGCAGAGGATGTTAAACTGCTTGCTGTGCATTTTTTGGTGTGAAGATGAGCGGTTTGAAGAGATTCCTTTCGGTGTCAAGGGGTTTCTTTCGGTGTGAAGAAGAACGGCATGAACGGCACCGTGAGTAGAAAAAGTGAACGCAGGAGTAGAAAATGATTGTAGCTGGTAGACCCGTCTACCCCGGACGAGAAAGAGAGGAACCAGAAACTATAGATTCGCCAATCACTGCCCTTGCTGTCCGATGGCGCGTTGCTCCGACCTGAGCTATGCAACAACGGCCTTTTCTCATGTGCGTTGGTGATGGTGCCTTACTAGAGGAACGCCTTACGGGCACTTGTTTGCTTTCTTGAAATGAGCTAGCTGTAGCCAGGGATCGTCAACGAACCTTAGCTATTCGTTGGATCCGTCTCTAGCCGCATTAAAGCCCGGATGGAAAACCCCAGGAAATACCTGGCAAGCCCCTGCTAAACGGCATCTATTTCGGGTACAGGGGCTTAGAGGGGTGCTAACCCGGCCACCGGAAAGAAGAAGAGCTCAAGGCCGCCACAACATTAGATGACCTTCCACGGGGTGGCAAGCTTTAGAGAATAGGGAAGTTTTGTTTCTCTTTCAGTTGGTGATTGGGGATTGGCATAGTTCTCTTTTCTCGTATTCCCGGAAAATCAAATTGCGGTACAACTCAGCTTTTTTTAACTTTTTTACAGCGACGGGTGTTTTACCGTCGTGCCCATGAAAATTTTTTAAGGTTTTGGGTGCGACGGTTGTTTTACCGTCGTGAAATGAATTTTAGGACGGATAATTTTACCATCGTGAAAGGTTTAAGGGTGCGACGGGTGCTTTACCGTCGTGATATGCCTTTTAGGACGGTTAATTTTACCGTCGTGACTAGTTGTTGGTGAAAAATCAATGTTAAAAGTGTTAAATGGGGGCCGACGGTTGTTTTACCGTCGTAATAATAATATTATGATGGTTAAATATACCGTCGCAAAATAAATATTAGGGACGGTTGGTGTCAACTGTCGTAAACACTGTCTCTATATGTCAATTACGACAGTTATCACATAACTGTCGCAATTTTTGTGTCGTTAAACACTAATTTCTTGTAGTGAGTATACTGTCACTCGAGGAATCAAAGTCACTAGGGGAATGATTCATGAAATATTCCATGGTAGTGTTAAAAACATAGGTACTAATGATGTTTCGATAAGCGTTAGTTGAATGGTCATTTTGATGGTGTGGTGATAACATATCAAATAATTCTTCAGAATCAGATGAGATATTATTAGCATCATCTTAAAAATCACTGGAGAATGATTGGTTTAACAAGTGGTTTATTTTGGTAAAAGCTTGATGAATCTGGGTATAGAGGGTGTTATAGGGAGTATTCTCAGAAGGAATGGGTTTAGAAGTAATAGCATTAAAAGGGGAAGGAGATGATGGAATGGGTAAACATGAAGTACTAAGATCGATTTGATTTGAAGTACAAAAAGTAGACTTACTTGCAAAAGGAAGACTGGAGTCAAGATCTTTAGAAAGATCAGGAACTTCAATTTTTAGAGTTCAGCAACTTTGAAGAAGTAGAAGTTCTGGAAATCTTAGCAGAGTACTACCAGCAGCAAAGGATCCTTCTACGAAGCTCCTAGAAAATTTCCTCTTCTCTCTGATACGTGGATCTTCAGGTTCTTCTGGAAGATTATCGAGTAAACCAAATTCAACAGCATTAGCAGATAAATATTTGAAGATTGTTGTTATTGTTGAGCCATTGCGTATAACACAAACACAAAAGGGTTTTTGGATTTCAGAGAGATTTAGGCTTGAAAGAGGCAAAATGTAGGATAGAAGTTGCGAAAGTGTGTGAAGTGAGGGTGAGTGAATTTTTAAATAAATTTTTTGCAATGATTAAAAATATTTTGAATAGTGCCAAAATTTTGACAAGAGGTAAAGTGAAAATATTTTACCTAATCCCAACAAAAATCACTTCTCCCAATGTGTCAAATAAGGCGTTTAATGTGTTTTAAGAAAAGACAATTGTCTTAATTTGAATCACAAATATTTCGCTTGCTTGACAATAATTAATGAAGTAAATTCTTCAGTATCCAGAATACATAAACTTTTCCAAATGGAAAGCTTCTGACATAGGACGCTTTTGATTCATGAGATCTTCTCACTTTTGAAGACTCACATCTAAGAAATACACACAATCTCAGTATTTCATTATGACTTTGTGAGAAATAGCCATTTTGAGATTTCCATCTATTTCATTCTAGACAAAGTACAATTTTTAATTTTTTCTGAATAAAAACAAATCTATCTTCAGAAATGGATTTTGTAAAGATATTGGCCCATTGATGGTCTTTATTAATAAATTTAAATTTTAAAATACCCTTCTGAACATAGTCTTGTATGAAATAATGTTTAATCTCAATATGCTTATCTCTAGAATGTAAAATGGGATTCTTAGACAAACAAATAGCAGAAGTATTGTCACGGAGAATGGTAATGTTGCTCCCATAGATATGAAAATCTTCTAGATGACTTTTCATCCAGAGGATCTGAGTGTTGCATCTAGAAGCTGCAATATATTCAGCTTTTGCAGTTGATAATGTAATTGTTGATTTCCTTTTTTTTGGACCATGAGATCAAGTTGTCTCCCAGAAACTGATAGCTTCCGCAAGTGCTTTTCCTATCTAGTCTATCTCTAGTATAATTAGCATCACAATAACCTACTAACTTGTATTCACTTGATTTTCTGTAACACAAATCAAGGTTAGTAGTACCTTTCATATACCTAAAAATCCTCTTAACAGATGTTAACTGTGATTCTGTAGGATATGAATAAAATGTCAGTCTAGAAGTTGACAAATATAATAGAGAACATATCATACTTCTGTACAACTTCTGATCTACCTTATTGCTTACCTCATCCTTCTCCAGAATACAAGTTGGATGCATTGGAGTCTTAGTTATCTTGCATTCTGAGATTTCAAACCTATTTAGAAGTTCTTTGGTGTACTTGCTTTGATGGATACAAGTCTCTTATGGACTTTGGTTGATCTGGATACCCGGAAGAACTTGATTTCTCCCATCAGACTCATCTCAAGTTTAGCCTGCATAGACTTAGCAAACTCCTTGCACAAGGTAACATTAGCAAAACTAAATATAATATCGTCAACATATATTTGAACTAATAGAATGTCATTTTTAAATGTTTTACAAAACAAAGTGGTATCCACCTTTCATATGGTAAAGTCTTTTTAAAATAAAATTGCTTATTCTTTCATACCATGCTCTAGGAGTTTGTTTCAGGCCATACAATTATTTCTTAAGTTTGAAAACAAAATAAGGATTTTTATGATTTTTAAACTCAGGAGGTTGGTGTACATATACTTCTGCAGTTATGTAACTATTAAGCAATGCACTCTTAACATCCATCTGATACAAGATGATGTCCTGATTAACAATAAAAAAATTAAGAGATGAATAAACTCTAACCTGGAAAATGGCACGAAGGTTTATGTATAGTCAATCCCTTCTTGTTAACTATAACCTTGTCCAACCAGTTGAGCCTTGTTTCTTACCACTTCTCCTTTCTCATTGAACTTGTTTCTAAAGACCCACTTTATTCCATTAACATGAGTACCGTTAGGTCTAGGCACAAGATCCCACACATCATTTTTGGAGAATTGATTAAGTTCTTCTTCCATAACCAAAATCCACTTTGTGTCCATAAGCGCTTCATCAATAGATGTAGGTTCTATGAGTGACACCAAACCCATAAGTGTCTCTTCAGATAGTTTGAACGAGGATCTGGTTCTGACTGGTTCAATCTTGTCACTAAGAATCAATTCTTCAAAATTTGAAGATCTTTGTTTATGCTTCCTAAAAGGAGTCTGAGCTTTAACAACTTCTAGTTGAACATCATCAGAATCCTTCTTCTCAGGTTCTTTTGCAACAGCTTCTTCACCTTTAGATCTTGAATATGTGATTTCCAAATATGAAAACTTTTCAACTAGCTTTGACTTTTCAGGGTCAAACTAATCATCTAATATAATATGAATTGATTCTTCAATAATTCGTGTTTCTGTGTTATACACTATATAGCATTTTGAGTGTTTAGAGTATCCTAACATTAGACACTTTTATGCTTTAGAGTCAAACTTGTTAAAATTTTACTTAGTGTTCAGAATAAAACAATCACATCTAAAAGAATGAAATAGCAAATGTTGGATTTTCTGTTCTTACACAATTCATATGGAGTCTTATTCAAAATTGGTCTAATAGAAATCATATTCTGAATATAACATGTTGTGTTAACTATCTTGACCAAGAAGTGATTTTCCATGTTAGTCTCATTGATCATGGTTCTGGCCTTTTCTTGCAAAGTTATATTCTTCCTCTCTACAACTACATTTTTCTGTGGAGTTCTAGGGCAGGAGAAATCATGGAAAATGCCATTTTCAGAAGAAATTTTTTTATTCAAAATCCTTATTTTCAAACTCACCACCATGATCACTTATGGCTTTAATAATTTTAAAATCCATCTCATTTTGCACTTGTGAGTAAAAGGTAAAGATCACAAAATGTAACTCATCCTTGTGTCTGAGAAACTTAACCCATGTCTATCTGTTATAGTCATCAATAATGACTAAACCATATTTCTTACCATTGACAGAAGCGGTTTTCAATGGTCTAAAAATATCAATGTGTAAGAGTTCCAAAGGCACAGAGGTAGACACAACATTCTTTGGTTTCAAGTTTTAAAAAACTTGCCTTTATGACATGCTTCACAGAGAGCATCGGAAGAACACTTCATCTTAGGAAGGCCTCTAACTAATTCAATCTTATTTTGCATAGAAATCTTTCTCATTATAACATGGCCCAAATGTCTATGCCATACCCATTTCTCTTAATTAACAGACACGAGGCCTTTAACATTTTATTCTTTAAGATCAGAAAGTGTAATCTTATAGATGTTTTTCTTCCTCTTACCATTGAATAGAATAAATCCATCCTTCTGACTAACAGCTTTA